TTCGATCATTGTATTTTCATCTTGAAATCGGAAAGGACCAATTTCCATCCAGGCTCCAATCAGACTACTACAACCAGGGCCGCCATTGAGCCATATGACTGTTCTTAATTTGTCACTATGATATTTTTTCTCAAAATGCCAAAAGAACAAAGATCCATGATGTTGAGGATTGACAGGTAGAAGTCCAGCATGCATACGAATCGAAGCAGCGGCTTTTGGTAAAAGTGGTAAGTCATGGACATAAAAATCGTTAGCTTGTAAAGCGAATGTTAGAGAACCAACAATCGAAAATAAAATAAATAGTTGTGTAACCATAGAAGACGACGGATACACTCTGAATATAACTATAAATCTAAGAGAATAAAACAGATTATACAATTTCTTCTTGAACAACTAAACGGTTTTTTCAGTTCTGCTTTTAATGTTAATTAAAGTGTAATTTATTTTCAAAGATAAAAGAAAAAAATCTCAGTTCTTTATCTATGTCGTATCTGAAGTTATTATAAAAATACTCACTCGCTTTTAGTAGTATAATGGATATTGAAAAAGGTTCAGTTTTCTGTTTTGTATTTATTATCTAAACGATTAAAATGTACTTTGTAATTGCAAATAAGTAATATGCTCAATAAAAAAGGAAACTACATAATGCGAACGAAAGAAATGGTTGTACTGATTCTTATTGCCAACCAAACAAAGAAAAGAAGAAAGAAAACTTGTGAAAAATGACGTGTAGATTCATACTCTTATATATATATAAAATGTTGGATTTTTCCAAGCATACAAATACTGACTTACGAGGGAACCTCACTAAGTGATACCCTTCGTTTGACCTCATCTTCTGCCCATATGTAGGGCTCATATAGTAGATAAAAACCCTAGAAGGGTTAGTGCCATTGCCCTCTTGCTGTTGAGATATTGTGTTTCTAAGGTATTGAGATAACCTAATACCGTGGTCCCCCTCAGGGAAGTGCGAAAAACTAATGTTGGAGTTTTGACTTGCAACTTTGTATACAATGAGATCTTATTGAGAGTAGTTTACTATGAGAGTTTCCGTTTTGCTGGATACTCATAATTCTAAAAAGGAATGTCTATGCTATCTCTTATAAACGATAGCAGGTAACATTAGATTGTCGTACCCGTATCTCTGGATAGAAACAAGGAGTCACTCTAAAAAATTCATAGTAAACTACTCTCAGTAAGACTTCAGCGTATACAAAGTTGCAAGTCAAAACTCCAACATTAGTTTTTCACACTTCCCTGAGGGAGACCACGGCATTCAGTTTTCTCAATACCTTAGAAACACAATATCTCAACAGCAAGAGGGCAACGGCACGAACCCTTTTGGGATTTTTACCTACTATATGAGCCCTACATATGGGCAGAAGATGAGGTCAAACGGAGGGTATCACCTGGTGAAGTTCCCTCGTTAGATCAATATCACATAAATAAGACTGGACAATTCGTTGAAAACGTTGATTTAAGTTGTAAAAACCATCGAGTATATCGAAATTATGTAAATAGCGGAAAATAAGCAAATGTAACTCATTAGGTAAAGACTCCATGTCTTGTCTGTGCTGTTAATAAATGTTAATGGATTATTATTTTTCTTTATACGTAAAAACAGAATGAGAAAAATCTTGTACAATAACTCTTATTCATTTGAATAATGTGATCAATATAAATGAGGGGTGTCCATATGCATTAATATCGTTGATGTATGATGATCACTGTGCGTACTGGCATCTCGTTGAGAAGGAACTAATGGTTTTACATAAGCAAAATCTATAGTATCATTTGGCACAAGCTTATATTTGCTTTTTTCCAAAATTTTCACTCGAGTTTGGAAACGTATTTTAAAATTTTGTATAAAAAATATTTATCTGTAAACTTTGTTCTTTTTTAATCCTATTGATATTATAGTTCAATGTATGTGCACAACAACAACAACAACACAAGTATTACTAAACATTAAAAAGATTTTTAAAATTGTCTTTTTTATACGATTAACTAGCTTTCTTATAGCATATTCCCGACTAAACGTAACAATTATAGACGCACTTTTTCTTTTCTTTTTTTTAGAAGTTGTATGCACTCAGTTTCATGTAAGTTCGTTGCAAGAAAAAGAATTTTTTAGTGTTTATTGGCACCGATCTTTAACACAAACGTAATCCGGTGAATATTAGTAACTTGTGTAATAATTTATATTGTATATAAATTATGCATAATTAACTTTGCTATTAGTCATATATATGAACAAAGCACATTTCTATTGAAAGTAAATTAGTTGTTTGAAACAAAATCAAACATTCGTAAATGATACAAGAGGATACGATGCAATGTCTAGTTCTATGAAATCTTACATGATTAAAACAGAATCTTAAAAGATCATATACAGTATTCATTAAATGCAAATTATTCATGTATCTTTTCATTTTTTAATCTAGACGATCAAGAGAGTGGAAGATTATTAAGAAAATGCAGTATAATGTTATTCTATTTTCATCGGTTACATTTCCTTTCTTTTATTTATAGAATCTAGCAGTAAATGAAATATTGTTTTCTATTCATATGATTTCATCTACAACATACGTTTTACTTCAAAATAACATCATTTACTCAGTCTAAATTTATTATTCATTCTACTTGTAAAAATTTCATTATAACGAATTTAACAAAATATGAGCGACGAAATTTTCTCGAATGAAACTGATTATGATACAGATACTGTAAGTTGTACATCAATATCAACAGAAATTACTTTCTATATCTTCTTATTGTTAGAAACTCCATCAGTTTTATGTAGTTTATTACTCTTTTACTACTTCATTCGTTTACGTGAATATCTCTATCGAGATTACTCCAATATAACAATTCTCTATCTAGTACTCGGTGCATTTCTGATAACTTCAATCGATATGCCAATCATTATAATTCATCTTCAAAATTGTTATTATATTGGATCGATGAAAGATCCATATACATTTTGTATCTTTTGGATCCTATGTGATTATATCTTATATTCGGTAAATTTATGGTTAATGGCATTTGCCTGTTTTGAACGTTATCTGTCGATGTTTTTCAAACAATTTATTATGAAAACTCGAAAACGACGTTTTCTTCTATATTATGCATTAACTATATTCATTACAGCATTCGTTGTCTTGCGGTATCTATATGTAATACTAATTTATCCATGTGCACAAACTAGTTTTGATTATACACAAATAACATGCGGTGGTTCGTGCTATGAATTTGTTGATGATCCGGTGATTCAAAACATCGATTGGATTATAGCTGTTCTATTACCAACTTTCTTAGTGATTTTCTTCATTCTTATATTGATATTGCACGTTCTTTATCAAAGACATAAGATTAGTAGACATTTAACAGAACGAAACACATGGAAACGTACACGCAAGATGTTTCTTCAACTTGTACCAATTGGATTTATATTTTTAGCATTTAATATGCCATTAATTATTGTTGGAATGCTTGGTATTACTAATTCATGGTATTATACGACACTGTACAGTTATACTAATTCTTTTTGGTATTGTTTATCACTCTTGATGCCATTTGCCATTCTTTCTAGGCAAAAAGAAATACTAAAACGACTCCGTATTTTGTTTAATTTACGAGGAGCAAACCGAATTGCATCACTCGATGGAACCGCCTGACCGATGCAAATTAGTAAACATCAAAATGACTCAACAGATGATGATTGCTGTTTATGAATCACTGGATTTTTGTATTCTATTTTCTTCAACTACTCTTCTTTTAATACTTTATTTCCTGCCTTTTGTATTTCTTAATTATTCGAATGAATCTTCTCTAACAAAAGAAAACAATTTATATATTTATACATCAAATATTTCTTCTATTTTCTTCATTCATACACATATTTTTCTACTAGGATCTTTTTTCTTGATTGAAATCAAAGTTTTGCCTTTTGTAATCAATTTTATTTATTACACCATGAAATAATTCATGACAAGTATAAGGCAAAGAAGATTTAAATTTGTTTTTGAAGACAATAAGTTACATTAAAAACGACAGAAGAAAATCAATAATAAAAGATAAACCTTTTGACACTAATATCTCTGAGAAACAGGTTCTCTCAAAAATCATGTTGTATTGGAGAAAAAAACTTTAATTTCTCTACTATATTTTAATTAAATCAGGTGATCTTTCTATCACTACTGAAAAGAAGATATATGAACATGCAAAGATAATGGATTTAAATGCTGTAGGTGGGAATGTGAGTATATAGTTAACGTCACACTCATACTCTTTTTTATTTAAATAAATATAGATTTTCGAGTACATTACACACAATATTATAGGATGATGTGTAATAAAATACTGTTCAGATAAATAAGCGCGTAATGTCAAAAACAATGTTCGTGTCAATTTTTTATTCATTTGCAGTATTATCAGGCACGTCATCTGATAATATTTTGCGTCTGATATCATCCTGGATTTTTTCTTCGAAGAAATGCTTCTTTGTGTAATACCATGCTCTTTGACAGTACCCGTGCGCTCTTTGATCGGATGTTAACAAGGCAACAGGTCGAGAAGGCATACATGATCTTCGATTTCCACATTTGCAACATACAAATTTCATGAATCGACGAAACTGTAAACGTAAGATTTCACCATCTGACACAAAATTGTAAAGCATCTGATTACGCCAAAGAGTACCTTCAACCATTAAAGTTGGAATTTCACCAACAGCGAGACCTAATAGTGAAAAATATGTCATCATTCTGAAGATTTTATGTAATTCGAATTGTTTAACTTATAGTCTTTCACTTAGAAGAAAGATTATTCTTTGCTACTCTTGTACTGTCACAAACTAATAATGATTAGTACAATTCTCTTAGATTCGAATTTTTTCCAAACTACTTATTGAGTGGACTACTAAAGAGACGAATCTAAAATATTGATTTACAAGAGTTTTCTTACCAATCAGGAGATTAATAATAAAAATGCAGAAAACAATGGCTGTCAAAATCATAATGACATAGACAAGCTTGTAATATGCTACTTGGTCAGGTGCGCTGTAAAGTCGACTCTCATAACCAAGATCGAACATCATTAAACTTGTGCGTAGAAGAGCTTCAGCAGGTGTGGCATACACAAGCTGATTTTGTAATAGCATCCAATATGTAAAACCGAATCCGCAGATAATAATTAACAATACAGGTAGAAAGCGGAGAAACTTGACACAGATAACTTGAAGCATAGCTACATATAGACCAACACCTAACCAAGGAATACAACGAACATAAGCGAGAAGATTCATCCAAGAGAGA